TATTTTTAATTTTCCAACGTAGCTTTCTCTTACAATTTGTCTCGTGCTGCATTTGCACAGGAAAATAAAACAAGTTTAGTTATAATGCTACTACAAACATCTAACTAAATACGAAATTCGTAACATTGTACTCAGACTAGTCTTTTACTCAAAGAAATTTTATCTGGCGTACCAAGAAGTAAAATCCAATATTAGCGCTTATTATTGGTTTTGAAGTACTGTTACTCGATATCAGCTTGATTTTAAAATCAAAGAAAAAATTAAATGTTAACGGCTTGTTTCGACTTGTTATTGTATAAGAAGTATAGGACTAAGTTTCGACTTGGTATTGTATAGGAAAGAAATATTTATAAAAACATGAAATATAATATAATAAAAATTAATGTCCCAATCTTAGATAAATATTAGATTGTCCTTTCATTAAGTAATCCCACTCGAAGAAGCTGTGTGACATTTCTTTAATTTAAATAACCAGTTATTTTATGCACTGAATCTGTACTATCGCTTCTCTCTCCCGTTTTCCCGTCAGAATGCAAATTAGTTCGCGGATATGTCAGTGAAGTTTGGAGATTGTTAAAACTGTTCTGCCTCTTGAGGCCGCGTTCCTGGGTTTGCTACCTTAGATAAGGGTTCTTGTCCTCGGCCGTGCATTGCAGTTGTCGACAGTTAAAATTCACCCTGGTGGAATATACATTGACTACCAATAAGTATTTGGACACCTGTGATAGAAAAGAAAAACTAACTTTATTCAAAATCAGTAGTTGGTAGAACCTCCACGAGAGGTAATTACAGCGTGGACCCTCCGGGCAGACTACCAACTTTCCACAAGTCTTTTGTATGACAGCTAGTGGTATTTTCTTCCACTCATCTTGGAGAAGACATAGAAGTTCCTTCACCGATTTTGCACGGGTAGTGCACCCCTGAATTCGGCGATGCAACTCGTCCCAGAGGTTCTCGATAGGGTTCAGGTCTGGACTCTGGGCAGGCCAGTCCATTCGATGAACTCCATTGGTACCATACCAAGCCTTGGTTAACGTCGAAACATAACAACTGGCATTGTCGTCCTGAAAGTAACAGGGGTCCAACCCGTAAAACTGCCACAACGTAGGAAGCACATTGTCATCCAACATAGTGCAGTAGGCATCGGAGTTGAGCTTACCATGAATGGGGACCAAGGGTCCCAGCCTATACCAGGAGAAACACCTCCAGACCATAATTCCACCTCCGCCGAGCTTGACTGTTGGCACAATGCATTCTGGCAGGAGACGTTCTCCAGGTAGACGCCAGACCCAGACCCTGCCATCCGAAAGGTAAAGGGTGAACCTTGATTCGTCACTCCAAAGAACCCGTTTCCAGTGATTTACGGTCCAATTTCGATGTGCTTTGCACCACATTAACCGAGCAGCGCGGTTGGACTTTGTGATCAAAGGTTTATGGGCAGCAGCACGACCATGAAAACCAAGCAGATGTGCTTCCTTACGGATGGTATCATTGAAACAATACTCCCAGATGCCTGTTAAAACTCCTCGCGGATGAGGGCTATCGGTTGGGTGCGGTTCTTCCGAATTTTCTGAACAGCATTCGTCTGTCTCTATCCCCCAGTTTCTTTGGTCTGCCGACTCGGGGCACATTCCGACAATCACCGCTCACCTTCCACTTCTTAATCACATAGGCCACTGTCGATATTGGGTACTTCAGATCGCTAGATATGTCCCTTAAGGATCGGCTACATTTGTGATACCCGGTAATTATACCTTTCTCGAAATCAGAGAGCTCCGAACTGCGAGGCATCTTGCATGCGACTAAAGCCGATGCTGTTTCCTACACGATATATACCGGCGGAGTCCGTGGCGTACCTTAGGACCGCAGATATCGTCATTTGCATAGGTGTCCAAATACTTATTCGTAGTCAGTGTATTGCAGATCTTTCTACAGTTACAGAGGTTGAGCTGATTATCGATTTAACATTAAAGAGGAATTTGCTTAACAAATATATAAGTCAACAGATATCGTAAGTCTATCTGTTTTAGTAGTATTTCTGTGTACAATAACACCACTGAGGAGGAATTTTCTGCTTTGTGAATACCTCCAACAACGAGCAACGATAGAAGATATATTCAACTGCATTAACAATTATATTTAAGAAAGTAAACTTGATTGGAAAAAGTGCATCGGTGTTTCCTGTTCAGTTCAAAGTGCATGAGTGCAATCCTGTTTTGAGACTCATATTACATTCAGGCTAACGCCCATTTGGGCTAATAATCCTTTTCGTTAGGCAAGGATTACTAATTCAAAAAGATGAAATAAGGACAATTCAAGCTAATCATAAATTGTTAGCTGCATACAATGTCACATATAATATTTTTGAGTGATGAAAATTCTAAATTGAGACTATTACTGTTCACAGAAATGATATGACGATTGATCAAGAGAAGCTAGAAATATTTTGAACGATTGCCTCAGCTAAAAATATTTTTCTTGACAGAGTATATGTTAAGGATTTCTTCAGGCTCAAGGTTGCAACAGCTGGCAAAATAAATAATAAGTTCTCGCGCAATTCATGCCTCCTAGATGATTACTGCAGCTGTTTTCCATGTACAAATAGGTACAAATAGGGCGCAACCCCATCCACCTAATCGACAAGATTTTATGACAAACAAGGTCTGCGCCAAGCAAAAACCATAAAATACATATAAAAATACATAATTATACATGAAATTACATATTACATGAAAATACATATACAAATACATAATATACATGAAATTACATAGTACATGAAATACATAAAAATAAATAATTAAAATAATTATATAAAAGCATAAAATACACCACATAACGCACTGAAATAAAATTATTTAAAATTCCATATAAACAACCAATATCTCTATATAAAATTATTGTACACAAAATTTAAAAACAAACTTTTATCAAATAAAAATACCAACATCAGAGCGATTATTATTTAGAAAACACATAAGTTCCCTTGCAAATTTAAATTCTTTTTCAGCACCTGTAAAAATCTTAATAAAATTATATTTTTTTCGTATGTCATAAGTAAGTGCACATTCTTCCACATAGTGCCTTTCCGATCCGACAACTCCACAATTATGACAATATTCATTATCTTGTATGCCAAATCTTTTAAGATACACCGGGAAGCGGTCCATGTCTAGTAACAATTTGATTGAAAGTCCAGTTGACAAGGAAATACTTTTATTAAACATGGGTTTTAAGTAATAAGCATATTCTTTTCTTCTACTTCGAATTATTCCAGTTATCATTGCCACAAATCAATATAATACTTGTTTTATTGTAGTAATAACCATTTTTCTTGAAGGCTGGACAACAGAACACTCTCCCGGAAACATCCAAAGTCGCCTCTTTGGCCAAACGTCGGCCCTGTCGTTACCCTTCGAATACCCGCATGGGACTTAACCCATCTAAATTTAATATCATCCAAACCTTCAATTTCCTTTATATAGACACTTAATATTCCATGACTGAGTGAGTTATTATTAATCGTAGCTTTTCAAAGCCTGTAATCCAGATAGGGATATCACTATAAATCACAATAGAATAACTCCTAGATAAGTTTTCCTTAATCCATTTCATTGCAAAATATAATAGCAGCCAGTTCAGGCCTGAAATACAGAATTGAAATTTTTCTAACCTTATCTTTGAATAATCTATTTCTATACCATAATAGTAAACAACAAAAGATAGGCCAACACTTGTCCCCAAACCTAGGAACCATCAGTGAAAGATATCGAGTTCACCAAAACAATTCAAAGTTCATTTCATAATTAATGCTTCACTTCTCTTGGCTGGGTGTATGCAGTAAGGGATTGACATTATAGAAATGGCAGTACAACAAAGCTAAATAATCACCATAATACATAAAATCTATCTTACATATAGGATAACAAAAATTTATCATAAAAGAACTTTATAAAAGATTCGAGAGGGGCAGGCGTGCCGGCCAGTACACAGGCAGTTTCAGTTGGGTGTTGTCCTAAAACATCCTAGCCAGTGACAGCAGCCAGGGCCGCTGAATCGTCAATAACTTATTCCTGATTAATTAAAATACAATAACACGCCGAATAAAAACTAATTCAGAAGACAAACAACAAAACAATTACTATAATCTACATGTAAGATAGATTTTATGTATTATGGTGATTATTTAGCTTGTTTAGTTCTGGTTTCACCAACAGATGGCGCCACGTGCTTATTCTTGTCCAGGCTTTCTTATCTTATCTAATAATTTTTTCCTATCTTGTTCATTTGCGGTTTTGCAGCTGAGGATGGTTGTTCGGTAAAACCATCGAAACTAGTCCTGTGAAAATTTTGTAAATATAACGCTGGTTTTTGTTGTTTGTCTTCTGAATTATTCCTGATTCTCAACAACTCCGCCGCTCTGGAGCCCCAACAACCAATTCCGTATAACACAATAGGAACAACAACTACTCTATAAATAGTTCTAATAATATCTCTCTTAAGGTCGATGACACCCGCTGGAAAATTTCATGTGTTCAATGATACAAATGCCATGGGATTCTGGCAATTTAAAACAGATTTTACAATCATGTTAATCTGCTACACACGATCTGCTACGCGGTCTATGATATTTTACAAAACCAGATTATTTTAACGCTGATTCAGGTTCTTCGGTGATAATCTACCCGGGTAAATTTTGATAAACTGAGTGAAAATGCTTTGCGTTTTGGAATAAAAATCGGTATTTTTCTCTTCGAATCAACTTTAGAGGCAACTTGAAGACTACCTTCGGAAACATCTCAATGTTCTCTGATGTTCTTTATCTCATTAAATTTAAAAATATATCTTAAAAAAAGTTTAAAATTTTTTTAAGATTAAAAAAAAAAGGTTTAAAATTAATCCTTTTTTTTTCTGCATGTCTTCGTCGTGTGATGATTAGCACACTCGGCGCGTTTTCAAGAGGTCCAGCTTCGATTTCCAGTGAGGACATTGCTCATTTTTTATATTTCCTGCTTCGAAAATAACCTAATGACTCTACGAGATAAAGATTCTTTGATCACGATATTCTTTATCCCTTAAGAAATCTCTTAAATACTTTATAAATACTTATTTTTTTTTTTTTTTCAAAGGCTAATCCGAAGATCAATTACCGGCTGTTCCGCAGCAGATAATGCCACAAACAGACAGACGCGCACAGATTTTTTTCAGTGACAGGTAGGCTTAATCCTTCCTCTAATCTTTTAGTTCTTGAATGTTGTTTAGATAAATTACCAACCCATAAGAGAATATTCCACTACCAAAAAATATTTTCTTCTTACTGCGGTGAAAGCTTTTTATAGGTTTTGTCTTGGAGTTCACATTCAGTTTACAGAAAATATTACTTGTCTTGTGTGCTGCTGTAAGGACAATGAAATTTCATTAAATCGCATTGATATTAAGCTACGGTTTTTAATTTGGAGTGCATTTCAAAAAAGAGTTCTTAAAGGATATTTGGATTATACATTCTTTACACATAGGAAAATCATAACAAATCATCCTTATATAACTATAATCTGGGAAAAATATCAAATTTTCAATAGTTCTATTAATTAGTATGATGGACATAAAACTAGGACGATGCGGGTGATATTTTTAACCACATGGCAAGTAGAAGCTAATTCTGTCAAGTTAAAAATCCTGTGCAGCAGTTCTTAATGCAATCTGCCTATACTTATATTTGGGAAAGACTTATACTCGGTGTGAAAATATAAAATTTTTGCATTTTTAGAAATAAAAGAATTTGATTCTGTACGACAAAAACTGAAAAGATCCGAAGATTCGAGTTTTAGAATCTTTTTCCAGAATTGATGGATTCGAAAATTAGCATGTCCAATCCCTTGGTAATAAATAACGTCTTCACTTAAATCATAAGAAAACTTGAGTACAAAATTGTTTTACTTACATACGTCGTCAGGGAATTCGGAAGCTTCTAAATAGAATGTCGAAAGACCCCACAGCACGAAAATTCGAATTAACAATTTCATGATTGTAACTGAATCGTAAATAACTATGACTATGCCTGAGAACAGTTTTTATGAGTATAAATGCAGTGTAAGAAGCATGCGTAGCGCCTAACTTGGCACCTGCAGCCTGAATACACAAAAAGCAAAATATGCATAATCGCAGGAAACACATCAGAGGTTAGAAATGTTACTTGACACGCCAAAAAGACAACACGTGCATTTCCCTGAATGTATTTGCTTTGATGTTAATCTAATACATACATAGCACGCTATAGCTGATCACGCGCTTTTACATTCGATACGAGGGGCAATACTTCTCAGTACAATACATGACTAATCTGTATACAGTTTTATCAGATTTTCAAGAAAGTTACGTTTTTCTGTGTAATATTCTTAGGAAGTTTCATAATATAATAATGGAAAAATCTGACGCATACACCACATAACTCCCTTGCAAGGAATGTTAAATTATGTACAATTTTTTCCTGCATTTTATTTAAACGTATTTCCTCGAATTTCATTACAGATATAGTTCTCATTCAATTAATTCAGTTCTCACTTCGCGACAAGGCAAAAATACATAAGTACTCAGAAGATATTCATTAAAAATTGAAACCTATAGAAAAGCATAAAACACCAAATACAGTTAAAACAATTAAAAAAAATTTTACAATTAAAATTATAGTTTCTAAGCAAAAACAAGCAATTCGGCCAGCGGGCGAGAAGACAGATTTTTCGTGCACAAAACTAAAAGTTTACTTTTGGTCTCACTCAGCAAAAAGACACTGAATTTTGAATTTCGAATTTGTTTTATTACCTATTTCAAATTTTTTAAAACGAGTTTTTGGTTAGCAAACTTAATTATTAATTCAGAAGTCAAACAACAAAAATCAGCGTTATATTTTCAAAATTTTCGCAGTTCTAGTTTCGATGGTTTTTACCGAACCACCATCCTCAGCTGCAAAACCGCAAATGAGCAAGATAGGAAGTAATGACTAGATAAGATAAGAAAGCCTGGACAGAAATAAGCAAGTGGCGCCATCTGTTGATTTTTTTCCAAAAAATCTTTCTGTTCTAGTTAACGATCCTAATTCCAATCCGTCTTTGCCTTCGGCCTTTAAATAAATTATGTTTTAGTCCTGGTTTCATCAACAGATGGCGCCACTTGCTTATTCCTGTCCAGGCTTTTTTATCTTATCCAGTCATTACTTCCTATCTTGCTCATTTGCGGTTTTGCAGCTGAGGATGGTGGTTCGGTAAAAACCATCGAAACTAGTCCTGCGAAAATTTTGTAAATATAACGCTGATTTTTGTTGGTTGACTTCTGAATTAGTATTTATTCGGCGTGTTATTGTGTCTTAAACTTAAGTATTTCAAAGCGAGCAATAGCCAGCGTGTACGGAAAAAAACATTTTATCTTCAATGCACGGAATTGTGTATCGGAAGTTCTAAAGATATGCTCTTTATAAATATTTTGTGATATTACTGTTCAGTTTAATTTTGTGTGATTTAAATGCGAAGAACGTGATATTCAATAAACAGCGGTGACACACAAGACGCTAAAAAAACGCCCTCCTGGGCGAAATATAAAATCTGAAAGTTGTATCTTTTTAGTCCAAAGGAGCTTTGTCATTGAAGGACTATTGTTTTCGTTTTGCAATTTTGTGTTAATTCACTATAAATGTCAATTTCACTTTTCAAACTGTTGCCATCAAATGTTAGAGTCCTGCATTATATTTGAAGAAATTAAATAATGAAAAATCTGCATAAATGTATGTATATTTCTCGCATTGTAATAAAACAACGGTGCCTAGAGCCATCGAATTTTGAATGACGTAATCCTACTGCGAATATGAGCATGTGGAAGCCCAAATTTGAAATTTGTTTTACTTCGTGTTGTTTCGTATTGTAAAATTTTAAGAATTTTTATTAACAAACCATTTCACCAGCAGCAGGTAAGAAAACATATCTCCGGCAGTGTGTATCGATCTAAGCCATTAAACTTTTATATTGCTTATATTTTATTTACCCGAAGCAATTTAAAAATAAAGTCAGGAAAAAAAAAACAAAAAAAAAAAAAAAAAAAAAAAAAAAAATCTGAAATGTTTCAGATTTTAAATTACGTCCAAAGGGGCGTTTTTTAACATTTTGTATGTTACCTTTCTTTATTAAATATCATGTTCCTCGCACTTAAACCATAAGATCCAGTGCAACAGCAATATCGCAAAATAGTTTTAAAACGAGCATATCTTTAGAATTTCCGATACAGAGACTCACGCGCTGGAGATAAAAATGTTTTTTCTGCACAACGTTGCCATTGCTCGCTTTGAAATCCTTGAGTTTGTTAATCAAAAATTCGTCAAAGTTTTAAAAAATAGGAAATCGATCATAAAACAAATTTCAAATTTCAAATTTGGTCTTCCACATGCTCATATTCGTTGGAGGATTACGTTATTCAAAATTCGATGACTCTATGTACCGTTATTTTATGACAATGCGAGAAATATACATACATTTACGCAGATTTTCATTATTTAATTTCTTCAAATATAATGCAGGACTCTAACATTTTATGGCAACAGTTTGAAAAGTGAACCGACATTTATGAGTCCGACGCAAAATGCCAAAACGAAACTAATAGTCCTTCGGGATTCAAATCCCTTTGGACTAAAAAAAAAAAAAATTTTTCAGGTTTCGATTTTTTTTGGGGCGGACCTACCCTGTTTTTGCCTTTGGTCGTTTAACATGAATTCACTATATAAAATTGCTTTAAATGACGTTAGTAGTTTACGCATTATAGTTTTATTTTACACGAAATTGAGACGGATGTTATCAGTTAAACATGAATTCATGCGATTCATTTTTTTAAAAAAAATCTAATCCTTTCATTGCAAAATAATTACACAAACGGATGTCGGAATCTTGGGGGATACAGCTATAAATGGAAGTGATGTAAAGCAGTATAAGATCCTGTATTTATTTTATGTTCATGACTTCCCTAGGGCTCACATTGGTAGAAATCACTTTCTTGGGTGCTATGCGGACGATACGGCATTAGCTGTAAAGTTCGCAAACGCACACCATGCAATCAAGAAATTACAGGAGCTTCTACCAGTGGTAGAAAAGTGGTGTACGACTTGGAGGATTGCTATTAATGCCAGTAAGTCGCAATTATTAATGATAAGGAGAAAAAATACACAGTTGACTATTAATAGCAAGCTCTTCTTATTCTCTGAAGAGATTCCTAGAGTTAGTAAGGCGAAATATTTAGGAGTAATGCTAAATGAAAGATTAAAATGGGGAGATCATATAACAGAGGTCCGAAGAAAAATTTTCACTGTTGTAAATAGTCTCATCCCTATATTGGGTAATTATTCCAGCCTAGACCACAGGAAAAAGAGGCTAGTATATATCACGGCAATTAGGCCATTGATGACTTATGCGTCGCCGGCCTGATGCACCTCTATAAAATATAAATATAAAAAGGATATAAAAAGACTTCAAATCATGCAAAACAAAGTCTTAAGGCTTATCACCCATGCTCACTTTTTTGTGAGCAATGCTACACTGCACTGTGACTTAAAACTGGACACTCTAGAAGAGCACCTGAATAAGATCAACAGGAAATTCTTCACGAAAGCTTGAACTGTGACCATATGAGAAATTTTGATATCTTTACCTACGAAATATTGAATGAGGACGCCAAACTGCGCCCCACCTTATCAGGGACCCGAACCAAAGAATCTCTAAGATTACAGATTCTTTGCCCGAACTTTCCCACCTAGTGCCCACCTGTAAATAATGTACCTAATGTGTTTATTAGCATTCTTAATTTTGTACCTTACTCATTTATTGTACTGTGTATTTCTTAAATTCTCTAGTTTTATTCACATTCTAACTCATTTTATGACTCCCACTTATTCACGCCTTTACCGGGCCGGTTACTTGCTAGTGAGCTTTTGCGTTGCTGGTCTTCCTATTCTTTATCCGTCTTTGCTCCTCCTTACGGCGAACATTATGTGAAGATAGTTCTATGTTATTGTGCCCGTCTGGCATAAATTTGATTGAGCCAGATAAACTACTGATCTCAGTGGTATTCTGGCTATAAGTTATCAGTCAGTCAGTCAGTATTAGATCATATTCATGCCCATAGATGGCGCCATATGCATCCATTTAAATATTTTTAGAATTTATGTGATCAACAGATGGCAGCCATACGAAGAAATTTCGTAAAGAAAAAAGGAAAGGATTGCATATTAGTGAAAAATATTCGGATTATAGCCGAAACGAATCTGTGTACATTATAAAATTCCTAAAAAATCTATGGAAAAATTTAAAAAAAAAAAAAATAGCGAATAAAATTCTGGAGTTCTGGAGGGAAAATAATATCGAAGTATAAAAAGGTCAAGATTTCCTAAAAATTAAAAATAATAATAATAATAATAATAAATAAATAAAAATGCATAAAAATTTCCTAAAAATCAATAAAAATTTAACAAAATATTGAATAAAATTCTGGAAGAAAATGAAAATCGAGGTAAAAAATTCCTAAAAATTTATGAAAAAATTAAAGAAAAATATAGAATAAAATTCTGAAAGGAAAAGAAGATCGAGGTATAAAAAAATACACGAAAGCATAAAAGTTCCTTTTTTTTTTTGTTTTTTTTTGTTTTTTGTTTTAGTCCAAAGGGCGTTAGCACAGAAAGGCTATTAATTTCGTTTTGGCATTTTGCTTCGAAAACTTTAAATGTCCGTTTCACTTTTCAAATTGTTCCCACCAAATATTATCGCCCTGTGTTAAATTTAAAGAAATTAAATAACGAAGAAACTGAATAATGTATATATGTTTCTCACCTTGTCATAAAACAACGGTACCTAGAGCCATCCAGTTTTGAATAAGGTAATCCTCCACCGAATATGGGCATTTGGAATCCCGAATTTGAGTTTATTATCGACTTCATATTTTGTAACACTTTAACGAATTTTTGATTGAGAAATTGAACCATTTCAAAGCGAGCGATGGCAACAATGTGCGGAATTTTTTTTTAGTCCAAAGGGATTTGAATCCCGAAGGACTATTAGTTTCGTTTTGGCATTTTGCGTCGGACTCATAAATGTCGGTTCACTTTTCAAACTGTTGCCACAAAATGTTAGAGTCCTGCATTATATTTGAAGAAATTAAATAATGAAAAATCTGCATAAATATATGTATATTTCTCGTATTGTGATAAAAACAACGGTACATAGAGTCATCGAATTTTGAATAATAACGTAATCCTCCAACGAATATGAGCATGTGGAAGACCAAATTTGAAATTTGAAATTTGTTTTATGATCGATTTCCTATTTTTTAAAACTTTGACGAATTTTTGATTAACAAACTCAAGGATTTCAAAGCGAGCAATGGCAACGTTGTGCAGAAAAAACATTTTATCTCCAGCGCGTGAGTCTCTGTATCGGAAATTCTAAAAGATATGCTCGTTTTAAAAACTATTTTGCGATATTGCTGTTGCACTGGATCTTATGGTTTAAAGTGCGAGGAACATGATATTTAATAAAGAAAGGTAACACACAAAATGTTAAAAAACGCGCCTTTGGACGTAATTTAAATCTGAAACATTTTTTTTTTTTTTTTCCCAGCGCGAGATGGTATCGGAAGTTCTAAAGATGCTCATTTTAAAATTATTTTGCGATATTGCTGTTGGACTGAATTTTAGGGTTTAAGTGCGAAGAAAATGTTATTTAATAAATAAAGGTTACACACAATACGTTAAACAAACGTCCCTTTGGTCGCAATTATTATTTATTAGTCCAAAAGGGCTTTGTCCCTGAAGGACTATTGTTTTAGTTTTGCGACTTTGCGTTGAACCGCTATAAATGTCCGTTTTACTTTTCAAACTGTTGCCACCAAATTTTAGAGTCCTGCATTATATTTGAAAAAATTAAATAATGAAGAATCTGCATAAATGTATGTATTTTTCTCGCATTGTGATAAAACAACGGTATCTAGAGCCATCCAATTTTGAATGACGTGATCCTACTGCAATGTGGGCATGTGGAAGCCCAAATTTGAAATTTGCAATTTGTAAAACTTTAACCAATTTTTGAGTAACAAACTCAACGATTTAAAAGCGAGCAATGGCAACACTCTACGAGGGGAGGGGTGGAAAAAAATTTCTTATCTTCAGCACGCGGAACTATGTCCCGGAAATTCTAAAGATAGGCTCATTTTAAAATTATTTTGCCACATTGCTGTTGAACTGAGTTTTATGGCTTAAGTGCAAAGAACATGATATTTAATAAATAAAGGTAACACGCAAAACGTTAAAAAAATGCCCCTTTGGACGTAATTTAAAATCTGAAACCTTTCAGATTTTTTTTATTATTATTTAAAATTTCTTTCGTAATTATTTATATACATGTATATAACACGTTTGATGACTCCGATTGCAAAGATCACACAGCTACACATTATAGCAAACCCATGTACAAAATTTCAACCTTCTAAGTCTTGAGTTATGCGAGATACATACGTAGAAACGTCACGAAAAAAAATCTCTTTTGAAACCATTTTAAAACCTTTTACAATGCGTTTTGAAAAAGGAGTCCTTTATTTTGTTCCACAAATTCTGTCAGACAAATGTCACGCAAAATATCATCAAATGGATTTGAGAACGTACAAAATGGTTATGGAAGATGTGATATCCGAATTTTTTCGCAATTACAATGCTTCTTTTATTATTTACAAGGAAGTAAAAACACAGATTGTAAACAGTAAAAAGATTTTACACAAACCGCGTATAATGGCAGAATAAGGATAGCGATGAATGCTTGTAACTGAAGTCAAGGAAGGATGATCTGTCAATAGTAGTATTGTAATACAATTGTCTGGATAGTATTGTGGTATTCTATTTTCTGTGCTTTATAGTGTACTGAAAGCGTATAATGGCAGAATAAGTGCAGTAATGAATGCTTTACGACCGAAATCAAAGAAGGATGAACTATCAAAATAAAATTTACTTAACATGTAAGGTATTTCTCCCTCCTTCTTTGCATGCCTTCGTGGTGTAATGGTCAGCACACTCAGCGCGTATTCGAGAGGTCCGAGGTTCGAGCCGCGGCAGCTCATTTTTCACGTCTTCTGCTTTAAGGGGACTCATACACCTTAAACCCCTCATGATCTTCGAATATGTGCTGTTGCAAGAATTGGAATATTTTATTTTTTTTAAAAGCAATTACTTCCAACTTTTTACAGCTGACTACATAATATAGCTGCTTTCGAAACTAGTAACCAGAAAGTTTATGTTGCCACAAATATTTTTTTAATTTAATCCTCTTTGTGACAAAATATTTCGCCATGTTTCCACCTTGCGCCCATGATATTTTAAAAATGGCTAATGGTACATACTTGAAATTAGATGGAATTCTTTATATGGGCACTATTTTCGAACTGAACCAACAATCTGATAAATATTTTAATATTGAAAAATTTTATGGACGAAAACATTACAAATTTTGTTAATAAAATACATTTTATAAACTCAACTCAAAATAAAATAAAAATTGAACATGAAATTTTTAGAATTTTAGGTTCACAGTAGTTTCCAAATGTTATAAAAGCTATATATTGAATATGGAATTAAATTATGAAACAGAATGTTTTAAAATGTGCGCTCAAGTTGGAAACATGACGAAAAATGTTGTCGCAAAGCGGATTGAATTATAAAAATATTATTGGCAACACAAACTTTCTGATGACTATTTCAGAGAGCAGCTATATTATGTAGTCAGCTTTAAAAAGTTGGTAGTAATTGCTTTTAAAATAAATAAGTTATTGCAGTTCTTGCAACAGTCACCTATTCGAACATCTTATGGGTTTTAAGGTGTATGAGTCCCCTTAAAATAACCTAATGTTTGTACAGTGGTGCCCGAACTAGAAGGATGGTGGATGATAATTCTCCACCACCAGGATTTGGCGGTTGCGTCTCCTAATCCCCAGTTGCCCTTTAAAAGGGGAAGTATATAAAGTATGGCTCCTGCTTCTTTAGCATGCCTTCGTAGTGTAACTAGTGATGAGTCGGTACTACCGAACCGGGTATTTTGTAACGGGTACTTAGTTGTAACGGGTACTGAAAATCGGTACATCCAAGTACCCGTTACTTCAGTACCGAAATCGGTACTTTTCGGTATTCGTTACTTCTGTACCGAAACGGGCACTTTTCGGTATTCGTTACTTCTGTACCGAAACGGATACTTTTCGGTATTCGTTACTTCTGTACCGAAACGGGTGCTTTTCGGTATTCGGTACTTTGTAACGAAAATATGCGCCTCTTCTCGGTATTTCGGTATTCGTTACTGGAGGATCAATGAGGGTTCAGCTCACTTCGGTTTTGGTACGAGGACAGTAGTATCTGGTTGTATTTGCGAAATGGTGATATGCGCTCCTTGTGTCCATGAATGGTCTGCTCCTCAGACACTTCCGTAGTTGACATGTTTTCTGATATTTAAAATCTTACTCTGTACAGATAAAATCAAACACGTGGTGACTTGGTCACGAGTTCCTTCAGTGCGCAAAATCGTTAGCTGCGTATTTCGGTACTTCAAATCGTTACTAGGGCACTATTTTGAGAATGCAAACAAGAGTTGACGTAATAAGATGCAAATTTTAATAAATTAAAAAACAGTCGTTCCGTATTCATGCACAATTATCCAGCACAGTTTTTCTTATGCATTCATTAATAGCTGCAATTTTTTAGCTTGTTGGCAACAGCAGACACATATAGATATTTATGATTATTGTGCACTTTAATCGTCTGAGTAGATAGAATTCTGCAGCCTTTAAATTAAAATTAACCCGAAGATTGCATTTTTGTTTTTGATAACAATGTATTATAATGGTTATTTTAAATTGAGCGTATTAAGTCTTTTTAAAAACAACAATAAAAAAAATTAATTAATTAAATTAATTTATATCACTCCGAAAGAGGCATTTTTTTAACGTTTTGTGTTTTACCTTTATTTATTAAATATCATGTTTTAGGTGCTCAAACTGTAAAATTCAGTACAACAGCAATATGGCAAAATAATTTTAAAAAAGTATATTTTTAAAATTTCCGAAACACACTCTCGCGCGCTGGAGATTTTTTTTCTTTTCCCGTACAGTGCTGCCATTGCTCTCTTTGAAATTGTTGGGTTTCTTAATCAAAAACTCATTATTACTTTACGAAATATGAGATAGGTAGTAAAGCAAATTCCAAATTTGGGCTTCCAGATGCCTACATTCGGGTGAAGCCGTACGTTATTCAAAATTGGATGGCTCTAGGTACCGTTGTTTTATCATAGTGCGAGAAACGTACATATATTTATGCAGATTCTTCATTATTTAATTTCTTTAAATATAATACAGAATGATAATATTTGGTGGCAACAATTTGAAAAGTGATTCAGACTTTTAAAGTGTTCGACGAAAGATGCCAAAACGAAATTAATAGCCCTTCTGTTCTAACGCGGTTTCTTCTTAATAATAATAATAATAATAATAAATTATTATTTCTTTAATATTAAAAATATTTTGTTTTATTTAACAATACTGAGTATGAGTACGCAAAAAGAAATTGAAACAGTTGGAATTCTTTGTCTTCTTAAGTCGTCGAGCAACAATAGGTAAAGGATTTAACTTTCGGTGGCATTTTGATCAAAAGTTGAGTAGCCTATAGAACTAACTCTAATTTAATTGATTCCTTTCTCATTAAATCTATTTGAAAATTAAAAAGAAATCTCTATTTTTGATTGCAATGAGAGGGCAATAGCCGGTAGAGGAAAGCCGGCGCATGGTGGGTAGAAACTGTTAGTGCTATCCCAAGCTGTTGATTTTCTTCTCAGGAAAACTGTTGGCGACAGTCACGTTTGAGAAACTCTTAAAATAATTTACACATAAGCAGAGTTCCATCTCATTCTATTAGTACCTCATACATAAAAAAGAACGGAAAAGATACTTTTTTGGCTCTTTTCGAATGAGTGTTTATTTTTTTTTTTTTTCTTCTAGAGGAAGTCTTATATATACCGGGTTTTCAATGTAAAAAAGAAACGATTTGAAACATTGTAAGAATACCTGAATCAGACGGCGCACAGCTTCCTCTCGATTACACGTTTTTCTATAACCGTAACTGTGCTTTCGAATATGATGACAGGAGCATTGGTAAGTTATGTGTTTGATCAAATCCTTCAATTTAATTGAATTTTGGCCGAAAAATTCGACTTGGAGTTTAAAAAATTAGTTGGCTTATATTTCAATTAAAGATAAATGTGTGCGTTAATTAAAAGCACATAAAAAATGATATAAATACGTTTCCCGATTTAAAATAATTTTCGTCCTTAACAAGAAGGTGCTATTAGTTTTGTTTTGGCATTTTGCGTCGATTCACTATAAACGGTTAATCACTTTTAAAATTGTTGCCACCAAATATTATGACCCTGTATTATATTTAATGAAATTAAATAATGAAGAATCTGCATAAATGCATGTATGTTTCTCGCATTGTGATAAAACTACGCAATCTAGAGCCATCCAATTTTGAATAATGCACGTCTCCACCCGAATACGGGCATCTGGAGGCTCAAATTTGAAATTCGGTATTTGTTTTATTATCTATTTCATATTTTGTAAAACTTTACGAATTTTTGATTTGCAAACTCAATGATTTCAAAGCGCTCAATGGCAACGTTGTACAGAAAAAACATTTTTATCTGATAATTTTTTTTTCTTCCGGTGTTGCCATTGCTCGCTTTGAAATCGTCAAGTTTGTTAATCAAAAATTCGTTGAAGTGTTACAAAATATGAAATCGATAATAAAACAAATTCGAAATTTCAAATTTTGGCTTTCAGATGCTCATATTCACAGTAGGATTACGTCATTCAAAATTTGGATGGCTCATTCAAAATAGGTACCGTTGTTTTATCACAATGCGAGAAACATAGATTCTTAATCATTAGTCAACAGTCGTTAGCCGAGAAAGGCTATTAATTTCGTTTTGGCATTTTTCGTTGGTTCACTATAAATGTCGGTTTACTTTTCAAATTGTTCCCGCCAAAAATTAGAGCCCTGTACTATACTTAAAGGAATTAAATAATGAAGAACCTGCATAAGCGTATATACTATGTTTCTCGTATTGTGATAAAACAACGGTACCTAGAGCTATTAAATTTTGAATAACGTAATTTTCCACCCGAATATGGGCATCTGGAAGTCCAAATTTGGAATTTGTTTTATTACCTATTTCATATTATGTAACACTTTAACGAATTTTTGATGAACAAACTCGACGATTTCAAAGCGAGCAGTGGCAACACTGTACCGTGCTGCTGAATTGAATTTTATGAATTAAGTGCGAATAACCTGATGTTTAATAAATAAATGTGACACACAAAGCGGTAAAAAAAGCCCCTTTGGGCGTAATGTAAAATTTGAAAACTTTCAGACTTTTATTTATTTATTTTTTTTAAATATAGTACGGGGCTGTAAATTTTGGTGCCAATAGTTTGAAAAGTGAACCGAAATTTAAACATAAAATGCCAAACCGAAATTAATAGCCCTTCTGGGCTAACGCCCTTTGGGCTAAAATGGCATGTTAAAATTTATAAACAGGTAATAGATTCAAAAAATAAGTGTAGATAAGAAAGAATTGGAAGTGAGACTACTAGGGAAAAAAAAAAAAAAAAAAAAAAAAAAGAATATGAAAGCACCGCTAATGAAAGCAGAGCAAACATTCATAATAGAGCTTGTGGGTGAAATTTGAAGTGAATTTAACGGTATCGTTGAGATTTTAAACTTGCATTTTGAAATAACGTATTAACATATTGTCTCAACTGGCGATCTACCGATAATCATTATATAGTTAAGCAGTTTTATGCTAGATGGCGCCACCTGTTTTTCGAATTTTTTTGGTAAAAGCCATGCTTATGTGTTTCGTTTCTTTCACAAGCAATTTTTCTGTTGAATTTGCAAAGAGCTTTTAAAAATGCTGTCTTCGAATCTTTGTTATCATTTTTTGCACGTTACTATTACAAAGAGCTGAAATAAGAAGCAAATGAAATAACTGTTGTCTTACGCGGCAACCGTGTTTAATTTATATCTTATTTTAATACTCTTCTTACAACCAATTATTTTTAAAGAGGTTTTGAAACAACTAAATATAGCACTACAAAATCGGGTGTATTTTGTCTTACTTCTTTCTTATCTATTTCATTCACTCCATGCACGTAATTCTTGATATAATCTATATCCATAATAGTTAGAGGCTCACTTTTATTTATATCCAGTAATTAATTCATTGAAATATTTAAACCAGCTAATCTAATTTTTAAAAAAATATTTCACGCTTTTATTTACACATTAAAAGTTTTCTTATACGCAACATAAAACACAGAAAATTTATAAATATTTTTAAAAACGTACAAAATTAATAATGTTAAATAATAATAAATCCGATCATGCAAATTTAAGTAAAATGACGGAAGTAAAAAATTTTCAACAACAGTTTAGTGGCGCCATCTATCGACCTGTAGAGTAACTACACAGTTAAGAAGGATAGTTTGCCTATTGGGAGAATACCGCATTAACAAATAAACTTCCAATACGTATATAAAGTTATATTATTCTTACTAAAGTTATTTTAGTTTGTTAATCTTTCCTAACACTTCTTGCCGCCGAAGTTTAGTACCACGCCGATGTAGGTTTCTGAGTCAGCCTGCTACGTTAAATTAATTTGTGTAGTTTTGAACTACTAGCTTATCTTTAAATTTAGTTTGCTACTATTATCTCAATTAATTATCTGTTAACTGTGCCATCTGCAAATATCTGAGTTCAAATAAAAAGGTCTTTTACATCCTTTCCCTGATATATTTATCTTCTAGGCTTAGCGATAATATGCTACACAGATTAAACCACAGATTAAAACCATAATTTTTACATCCTTTTTTACTTCCTTGTACGAAGTAAAAAGGAAGTATTGTAATCGCGAAAAGTTTCAGGCAGCATATTTCAACGAAATTATCCATTTTGACCACTATCGAATGCAATTTAACGATGTTTTTGCATGACATCTCTACGTAAGGACAGAATAAAAGACTCTTTTCCTCCAAAAAAATTATAAAACTGCTTTAAAATGAATTCTGAAGAGAATTTTTCGGGGTGTCTGTACGTGCCTACGCCTGTATCTCGCAAAACTCAAAAGCGAGCAGCCTCAGAACGTTGGCATTTTGTATATATATATGTTTTTTCAAAGGGTAGAAAAGGATTCAATTACAAATGTAACTCAGTCCATTAATCTATAATTAATAACCATGCCTTCTCCGGGATTCGAACCAAGGCCCTTCGGCATCGCAGTCAGCTTCCCTAACCACTATACCGACTGGGCAGGGACATTTTGTACATAGGACTGTTATAACATGTAGTTGTGCACCTCGTATTTTGGTTGCAATCGGCCGCACCAAACGTATATAAATATATTTGTATATATATATATACCCACTCTGTTACCCGCCTTAGTGATTTCAATTTCTTTACTCTTATATGTTTGTAAATCGTGCATTTTTTTGCTTTAAAAGTGATTGAATTATGTTGTACATATCTTCCGGTTAAAGTTTTTATGCCTTTAGTTAATCTGCTTGCAATAGCTGTAGAATTATCAGCAATTTAAAAGTTGTTTAACTGCCACTAAGCCTAACGAAACCGCCATTAGTTTACATTTGAAAATTCTTTGTAGAATAGTGAGTTAAGTCAGTTTCTGCACTTTCTGTGTCTTTTTGCCGAGTGGGACCAGAAGTAAACTTTCAATTTTGTGCATCGAGAAATCTCTATTCCTGCCCGCTGGTTGAGTTGCTTGTTTCAGAGTAGAAGCTCTAATTTTAATGGTAAAAATCATTTTTTTAAACTCTATTCGGTGTTTTATGTTTTTCTGTATTTTACAATTTTTAATGAAGTTGTTTTGAGTTTTATGTAAGTTTGTTTTGCAACGAAGTGAGAATTCAATTGATTGAGTGAGAAATTTATCTCTAATGAAATTCGAGCAAATAACTTTAAATGAAATGCAGCAAAAATGTGTAGAATTTAATAGACCGTTCAATGAAGTCAATATGGTGTACACAACAAATATTTTTTTCATATTTTCAAATTTAAAAATTTTTTTCACGATAAACTCCTCTTCAAATTGTTAAATTGTAATCTGAAGCTTTTAGGCTGCAATTTTTGTTCTTATTTATTTGATTTTGAAGTGTTTTTCACATTTAGAGAGCGATTGATCTTTTCGTTAAAATAATTTAGAACGTATGACACGACTAGAATGCACCTCGGAATTTTGCAGAATATATTTATCTTCTGTTATTAAATGGTTCAAATATAAAACAGTACTACAGGGAAGCTTATGAAAGAAAGCGCTCTGATTCAATTTGAAAGAAATCAACCATGACATAAGATCATAATTTCTGCATTATCATATTTTAAATATCAGCTTGGCGAGAAAGTAATTTTGGTTTTTTAGTGCGAAATAAAACTCAGTTTCTTGTATAGGGAAAAAAAAAATCTGATGTGTATACCACCTTGTGTTCCTTGTGCGGAATATTAAATAATAGGTATTTTTTGCCGCATTTCATTTAAACTTATTTCCTCGAATTTCATTAGAGATACATTTCTCATTCCATTAATACAGTTCTCATTTCGCGGCAAGGAAAAAATACATAAAAACTCAAAATATCTTCATTGAAAATGGAAAAATATAGAAAAACATAAAACACCAAATACAGTTAAAAAAAAAATTTTTTTTAAATCTTTTTACAATTAAAATTAGAGCTTCCACGGAAAAACAAGCAATTCGGCCAGAGGGCAGGAAGGCAAATTTTTCGGTGCACAAAACTAAATGTTTCGTTTTGATCTCATTCGGCAAAAAGACAATGAAAGTGCAGAAAGATTTGAATCACTATTCTGCTAAGTTTCAAATGTAAACAAATATGACTGCAAAGGTAAAAAAAAATGAAGCTTAGCCGCACTTAAATAAATTTTAAATTATTGATAATTCTACAGCTATTGCATGCAGATGAACTAAAGGCATAAAATCTTTAACCGGAAGATAAGAACAACATAATTCAATCATTTTTAAAGCAAAAAATGCACAATTTACCGATATATATGAATGAAAAGAAAC